GGCGAATGCGGAACAGACGTGTTGCAGCTCGTTTCGGTATGTCCTCCGCATTTCCATAGTCATGAGTCTGTCCGTAGGGCATAAATCGTAGAAAAATCCGCATCTCATCCCTTTGCTCAACTGCCTTCTCACGAGTTCAGGCTCAATCTGACAGACTGAAACCCTCCATCCAATCGGATTCGGGAGATCTTTCCTACCTCGATATACAGCAAAGTTATCGGATACAAATATACCTACGATGCCCACAGCCCTACCCGCTGCTGTCCGGTCTCTCGACGTCGAGGCTGCCTTGAAAATTCTCACCGCTAGTACTTACGAAATTTTCACTGACAATCTTGATGATCTCGTCATCGAGGGCTGCGTCACAGCCTGCGAAGCCAACCCAGCTCACATCAGCGAGTATATCTCTTTCATTCATTCCCTAGCACCCAGTCGTTTCCTAACGATCAGCGTCCCAAAGCAATATGTATACCCAGGCATCCACGGTACGATAGATGTAGGTACTGCATAGGGTACTTAATCTTTGACACCATCCGAGATCTACTCGAAGACCGAGGACCACGAGATCTCACCAGAGGATCCATATCTTATCACTTCTCTCATTTCGGGAAGCTGTATCGCAACGAACCTTCGTGAGTATTCCGACTTCAAAAGTTGAAAGAAAATGTCGTCACCAGGGATTTAGGAAAGAAGCTCGTAGATGTGGGCTCTTACCTTCATTCCTTCTCTGTTTTAGGCCACTCTAAATCACGCACAAGAGATTCATCTAATTTTCTCTTCCGATGAAGCCTGGCGTATGCTTACAAAATGAATGAATATATTTTCCGATTACATACAGTACCTATGTAAGTGCTTTTGAGTCGCTTCATGAACTAATATCAAGGTAGCATGTCTTTGAACTTCAGTGTTGTTTTACACAGCTTTTTTATAGTAATATCGGAAATGAATGAAGCATACCGTTTGGCACAATTGCATATTTCAACATCCCGCTTCCCTCCTCTCTATCGACTATTCTTGCCCTGAGAACTGGCTCGTCCTTTGGGAATCTGACAGGTCGCTCAAGAAAATCGGCAATGCGAATCAGCGACGTTTTGACTGGAAACACAGAGTAATCCAGCTCCAAGAGACTGTCGGCATCGGCATTGTGATCTTCGGGACTCGGAGCCAGTTGCGACGCATCCTCCTGGATGATCCATTTCAAATAGCCCATGTGAAGGGCAGAAATGGCGTCGATTCCTTTTGCTAGAAAAAGATTGTCAATGTCTGCCAACAAGGGCGAAACAAGGTACCTTGATTCCGGATACGTTCAGAGGCTAATGAATCACACTGTAATTGATGAAGCTTCCAATCCGACTTTTGACAAGTCGCAGAGCAGTAAACCACAGTCAAACAGCCAGTACAGAACTTGAGGGTGTTCAAATTCATGCCAAGTTGCGGACACTAGTATATTTCAATGAGTCTTGGTTGTCGGGAATGAAGAGGTAAAGCACATACCTCTGGATTGCCACATGATTTGGGACTCTGTTCAGCCTTGTACTTTGTTCTTCTCGTTTTCCACCAAGTAACAGCGCTTATAAGAACTTTGCTGGCTTCTGCAATTAGTCGTAGATGAGTTTGGCCTGGTTTCAAAAGAAACGCATGCTTCTGAAGACGCCGTGAGCACCGACGCATGACAGCTGGATGAATGAGGTTGATGGTGATCTCCTTGAGAAGTCCAGCATAAATTTCTATGACTTCGAGCTTGTCGGCTGGCTGGATAATATGTGAGGCTCGTGATATCGAGAATAATATCCCAGATGAGCCTTTCAGCGCGTCCAGCACGGAAAGATACCCGTCTTGTCTGACGGTAGAGAGCAATAAAGTACCACATTGCTCGATCACTGACATTAGCATCATTCTGTCATCGAGGGTACCATTCCCTCCCAGAAGACTGCTCGTTTGATTGGTTCGAGTTGAATTCGACTTTTGCAGAGAGTTAAGAAGAGCGGGATGGCAATATAATCTGCGAGGGTGTCTATGGTTTGCCGGAACCGGGCGGTTATTCCGTCCTGGATTTCCAGCATCCGTGCCTGAAACAATCCAATGGCTCCAGGACTTGTCATGCATTTAAGTAATGCCCCGACGAATTCGTCCCCAATCCGAGGACGATGTGCAAGTCTAGAGAATACGGTGAATTGGGTAGCAGTATCTACCCCGTTGTCTGTGGCGATGAGAAACTGAGACGGAAGTATCGCGAGTTTTACCAAAAGACCAATGCATCCCGGAACCTGAGTGATCAGGAATCGCTCTTTTTCTTGTTCGGAGATGAGACTGGGGAGGAAAATGACGGCGAAAGGCTTTAGGAGGCGAACAGACGCATCCAACATGATTGAGTACAAGTTGTGATATTCTGGAATGATCGCAGCCTGACGATGGAGGTCCAGACAGCCCACGAAGAATGTCATCAGCCGATCGAGACCGGACCATTGTGCGAGCAAAGGCTGGTGCGCCTCTAGTAAGGCCAGATCCATATCCGTTGTTCCCCCAAGAATAAGCGTTTTACCGAGAGACCAAAAACCCTGGCAGTTGATCGTGTTCAAACAATGAATCGCGAACTCGACGTAAGGCAGCGAAGGTGCAGAACCGCTAATGATCGCTTTGTCTTGAAGACTAGGCAGCGGAATCTGCTGGAGATGTGTGAACAGCATGGGCATTGCTCGCTGAAAGAGGGCATTATCTTTATAGCAGAGCCGCGTCAAGCTCTTCATTGCTGGCATAGAGCCAAATCTGGCTCCAATAATCTGGGAACGAGGAGTGAATAAGTAATTTAATTGCCAAACAGAGAGGTATCTATCCACCAATTGATCAAACTTGCAGAATGTAGGTCGTGTGTGCTAGAGCTCGCTGTGACGCACTGTGACTTACCACGGACTGTCACCAAATAACCACCAACAGGTTCGCAACTTCTCTTCTTGAAAACCCCATACGGTCAACATGCTGGCCCATAAATTTGTCCATCGTACGTGCGATTCTGGTAAAGCTCTGTTGTAGTTAGACAGCGCGTCAAATAGCGTGACGTTAATTGCGAGTGGCCAGTCTTGGGCCACCACTCATCGCCATTACCATCGACAGAGTTCGCAGGCGTCATGAGCACCTATTCTTCATTCGCAATCGAAATATAGGCGTCAAGGTCCTTCTAAAATCGCAGGATCCCTCTCGGGTCCCGGGAACCTTTTCGTGCTTTTTCCACCCTTGTTCCAACCCCTTCAAGTTTTGTCTCGCGGGAAACACGACAATGCTTCTGGGAGCCAATCAAATCACTGGTAAGATTGTATTGTTCTCCCTGATGAAAAAATCTCACAGAATTCTAGCCGTGGTCCGATGGCAATTTTCTCTGGGTCCAGGTTGTTCAGTGTAGGTTAGGCTGGTTATCGAAGGCAAAAAGTCTCTGCTCGGTGATGCCTGGCACATATTAGACCACTAAAGAATCACCCATGGCATTGGAGCCGTGCGTTATCATGCTCTTTCCATTCAGCTTCATCCTGAAATCTTCGGTTTCTCCAGGATATCGCGCTGGTGCCACCCTTTGCACAGCGAAGCCACATAGCACCACACTATCTCCGGCGCCTTTATTTCTGAAGCTCATCACTTTATCCATCAATCCTGTCGAACCGGGTAGGATTGCCTTTCCACCGCTGTATCGAACAGTGTCATCGACGGTCATGCGGGTAGACCACAGAGATGGGATCCTTGACGGTAAGAGCTCGTCCAGAATGATACGCTGATCTCAGGCATTGATTTACGATGCAGATGGCGTTAGTCTGTTAATCTTGGTTGCCGAAAACACGTTGGTATTGCCTCTTCATCTCTGTCTGGCCTCCACCTTGGTTTCCTACCGTCATATCCGCAGCTCCTGCCCAGTGTCGTCATGATTCACTCTCAGAATGGATGCTCCAGCAAAGAAAGCGACTTTTTTTTTATCCCAGATTTCTTGGTCGAGGCGGTGGCAATTGGTGGTCTTTTTTTTTGGTGCTTTTGCGTCTGGACCTGAAATAGCGAATCGGGCTTAGGACCATCGCAGTCGATGTCTCTCGGTAAGTAAAACAATATTCTTAATTGTCGCTGGGCTTATCGAGACGCAGACGACCTCTGTTAGCGACCTGTATCCTGAACCTGTGCACGTGACATTGTCGGTCCAGCATTCTTTTTCTCCACGAATGCAGCTTGGCGTTTTACAGCTTCACACGGTTCAAGCTGGAAGAATATTCATAGTCGACTATGCTTGTCTCCATAAGCTGGGTAGCCTTATGGCTGCGAATTAGCGAGATCTGACAGTATAGGTCTACCGTTTGACGAGCATGATAGGTATGGATTTTCATTGTCCAAGAGCTTCTACTAATGAGAAAAAGTTGCTTTGTACACTATAGACCTCATTCCATTTATCAATATCGGTCTGGGATTCCTCGCCATGCCAGGGGTCGCGGCTGTATCTCAAAACACGTTTTCGGGTTTCTTCGCTGAAAATGTCACCAACCGACGTCGTAATCCTTTCTCAATCATCTCACGATATCCATCGTCTACCACTAGAAATTGTATCCCATTTGAAGAAGATTCCTTTTTCCTTTCTTCGAGGTGCTCGAGCAAACCGGGTGCGATTTTCGGTAACGATGACTTGAAGAGCCCCGATCCATCTGGATGGCAGCCATGTTATTCCCCGCGCTTGTATAGTAAGATCAGGCTAATTGTCCTTTCTACCAAGATGTTACCTTACCCCGACCGTTGGAGCGGCTATCCGTGTCCAAGGCTCCGCCGTTTGCGCAGTGTTACACAAATCGGAATTTGGAAATCTCGTCATTGTTGGAAGCCTGTGAAACTTGGGTTTGAACACCTGTCTCATGATCAAACAATGGTTGTATTGCGATGGATCCCAGTGTAATGCTCTAGGTGGATGAGCGTGTGCGGGTGATCATGATTTCGGTTGCCAGAGAAAGAAAAAGATCAAAGATACTGTTAATTTTTCAGGCGAAGATCAGGAATCGAACCTGAGCCTTCCGGAATGTTTGCCGGAGATGCTAACCACTGCACTATCATCGCATAAGCTTGAGGTATCATTCTGCATTTTTGACAGTCTGAAACTATTACCATATACAATTATACTACATCCCCCTACAATGAAAATACTTACCTGTCTACATAACTGTTCTACAATATACAATCACAATCCAATCTTTGTACTCAGTAACCTCCATCCGAGCTTCACCACGTTTGTCACGCTAAACAATGAATTGAAAAGCTTCTTCAGCTCGACCGCAGCATCATCTCCAAAAACAACATTGCTATTGTCCTTGGACTCGACCGCACACGGTAAAGCTCTCTTCTTCATCTTCTTGTCATACTTGTTCAACGCTCTTTCCAAAGCCAAAACTAACCGAGCATGCCCCGCCGCTTCCAGAGCAACGTCCGAAGCCGACCCCTTTCGCTCGTCCATACCCTTCTGAATTTCCTTCACACTTTTACAGACGCTGGCCAACGCATCAGCGAGATCCACTGCATCAGCCATAGCAAGATTGACGCCTTCCCCAGCAAAAGGCGACATCAAATGAGCAGCGTCGCCCAGTAAAACCGCCGTCCCAGCTGGTTTGTCCTGATTCTTGATAAAGTCGAGCGACATGGCGTAGATAGCACGCATCGTCGGATTAGGATCTGCTTCCCGAACGAGATTCTGCAGTGACGCATCCCAGTCGGAGAAATAAGTGGACAGGAGAAGGTCGGCGGGAGAAGAAGCTTTGGCGACGTCGGATTCGCGCTGCCAGGTCTCGTCTTCCTGGACTGCCGCATAAACTCGTATGACATTGTTGGAATTGTGCTGAGCGATGATGCCTTTGTGGTCGTCGACAGCGAAAAAGAGACCGCTCGGGACGGTTTCTTTGATTTCGGGAGAGGGATTGGATAGAGTGAGGTCGAGGAAGGTAATGCCGGTATAGACTGGCAATGCTCCATTGTATAATGAAGCGCGGACTTTGGACCAAGCACCGTCAGCTCCAACGACGACGTCGACGCCATTGACGCGAGATTCTGAGAATTCCAGGTCCCAGGCAGACCCAGAGGGGTTAACACCGACAAGCTTGTGGTTCCAATGAATTTCCGCTTCCAGATCCTTCAATAGCATCTCTCGCAACAAAGTCCTGTCAATCTCAGGATTATACCCAGCGAGCCAGGATTTGGGATCCTGGATTTCCTCAAAGACCTTTGTGGCATGTTTATTGACGATTCTGGTGTCTTCGCCGCTGGAATGGGAGAGCTCGAGGAATTGGGCGTGGAGACCTGCAGCATGCAATGCGACTTGTCCCGACTCTTTTTTCAAGTCGAGAGAACCGCCTTGGTTTCGTGCATTTACCGATGATTCTGCTTCGTATATTTCGACCTGTGTTAATTATTAGCGTCAATAATGTCAAGAATGGGTAAACTTGCCTGGAGAGGTGTTTTCCGATGCTGCAGAATTCGGGCAAGAGTGAGACCACCGAGACCAGCACCAATGATCGCGACTCGAAGGGGCTTTTGTTCAGGCATGTAGAGGTGATGAATGAGGTCGAGAACGACGCGGTCTTTATGGCGGTCGATGCATAATGTCAATTGTGCAATCACACGGCTCCGGCTCGGTGTCGGGACAGATATAAATAGAAATACGCCAAGAGAAGATCCAGGCTTGGTTCTTGAGTCAGATCCAGAGAGAGGAATCAAATGTCATTGTCTATGTAGCAGTGCTCCAAAAGGTCTCTATGCAAATCCGTCCATTCAAAACACGAATACATTACCTACTTTTACACCGTTATTTCATCAGTTATCTTTCGTTAGTCATTTTCGTTCGTCCTCTTTTACCGCTCTGTCCTCGTCTCCAGAACAACCTCGTCAACCCATCTCAGAACAAGTCTCTCCAGCATTTCTTCCCATCCTTCCAGTCTCCCAGCGACTACTTTGGCATCAAACAAAATTGGCGGTTCGTTTGTCGGAAACCGATGAGCTGAAGGTGACGGAGATGTCAGTGGGGTATTCGTATTAGAGCTAGTCTTGGGCGCCTGTGACGCAGCGACAATCGGAAGAATGTATCGTAGCTTCAAAGCCCTGTAAATCTCGGTTATTCGGCTCAACAAAGGAATAACATTTGCGACTTACCCGACCCATAGACGCAGATTATCAGTGCGTCTAAACGTCCAGCCCTTCTTGGTATCCTCGGGACCTTGAGCTTTCTCAAGAGCGAGAATGTCGTGGATACCATCTCGGTTGACGTAGCCCCAAGGCTTTTTTGACTTGCGAACCCCAGCGTTGTAGGCGATGCAAAGAAGCTGGCCAGAGGAGAGACTGTCGAGGAAAAGGGCTCGAGAAGATGGTGGTTCCAGGGCGTCGATTAGGTTTCCTGGCAGGAGCGCAAAGAGCAAGGCATGGGCGCGAGCCAGTGGATTCTCTGGAAATGCGTCTCGCCTGGCCCATTGAGGAAGGTCGTCCTCATCAATATCCTCAGTTTCTTCAGCAATCTGATCCATCTCCCCTGGTTCCTGTTCCAATCTCATGTTCTCTACCCCCAGTCCCGGCATAGAAACCCTTCTGATCCCAGGCGTAACCAAAATGTCCCTCTCGGCCTCGCCGGCACTGGTCCTTCGCTGTTTCCCCTTCATCCCCTTGAACTTGTCTGCCAATCTCTTCTTCTCCCTTTCCCAGCCCCTGGAATCCTGCTTGGGTCCCCCAAACAAGACTTCATCGACGACGTCCAGATATTGTTTGACGGCTCCTTGTTCCTTCATCAAATTCGCGACATCGATGTCCTGGCGGTATAACCATCCACCGGCCAAAACCAGTCTCTCGTCCCATCCGTCTTTCTTCTGCTCCTCCTGAATGAACAAATCCTGGTCATCGTCCTCCCAAACCGGAACAGACTGTCCTTGAACCTGAATGAAGGTGACAGAAGCATCGTCGATAATCTCGTCCGATAGATTGCTTGGACTAGCCATTCTTGACCGAGGACCGCTTCTGCTGTCAGACCGAGCTCCAGTTCGACTGTCAGACCGGTGTCCACCGTCAGACCTTGCTCCACCTCCGTCGCTCTGGGCATCATAAGCGTCATCATCCAGCGGCACCCGACATCTTTCTTCAAGCTCCCGCAGCACCGTAAGGACTTCTAGCGCAGCACGTCGAATAAGACTGAGAGTCTGAGCATGAGATGCAGCTGGATTCGCACGTTCCGGTTGGCTTTTCGTCGATTGGGAAAGCGAAGTCGGACGAAATTGGACTCGGACTGTGCCCGTAGAATCGTCAGGCAACGAAAAGACATAATTCCGGACGGATCTTATAGCCCTTGTCGTTGTTTTTAGCACCCCCAGGACGTCAAACGACGACGCCGAGGTGACTGAAAGGAGATTCGAGCTGGATAATTGGGGAGGGGAAGACGAAGACAAAGCTGGGTGCTGGTCGATTCGCCAGACGGTGGCTACATGGATAAGATCTTCAATCATGCCTGGAAGTAAGACCTCTGGATCTGTCTCGTAGTTTCGGATGAATGGTGGTGGGGCGCTGATTTCAGGGACATCGGGGGAAGGTGGGAGATCCACCACAGGGAGGTCCTGCAACGTCGGACTCGTGATAGCCCGTATTCCACCAATGGCTGGAACGAGACCATGATGTGGTTTGTCCAATGGGCTGCATAAACCATCAGTACGAAGATTAAACAATGTTGAGAATTCACTTTTTCTTCGCTGCCAATCCTGTTTTCGTAAAATAATGCTGCAGATGCTCGATGGTGCCCAGGGCCATGACGCTTTCGCGTTTGGCGGCGCTACGGCTGAAGGGTTTCTGTGGCTTGTTCGCAGCATTCATGTTGGGGTAAAATGCTGTTTGACGTCGGGATTTCTTGGCGGCTCGAACAGCTGCGGCATCGGGTGCTCCTGGCGAACCGCTGGAAGAATCAGCAAACGTTACAACGGATTCTGGAGATCCAGTCGACGGAACTCCAGTGGAATCTGGCGTCAGGATGGGCGTCGACGAGGGCGACGAATCGGAGGCCCTTGAGCGAGAGGATTTGGACGCCATTGAGCGAGACTATTTCAAATGCAAATAAGATTAGAGGGTCGTGATAAAGGCAGAGGTCGTCAGCAGCGGAGGTCGTTAATGTTGCGCATGATGATTCATGATTAAGCGAGATCAGTGACAATGTGACTTGTCACGATCCGCGGCAATCTAAACCAAAGTCGGCTTTCGAGTCGGATTCAAACCTGTGTTCTAGGGCAAGATTCAAGCGACTTGTGTATTCACAGAATATACAACATTTTCTATAAAAGCCTACGAATTCACGGTCCTTGCTGACAATATTCAATTAATTGATTATTGCTATATTTCATTCATTTCTTGCATCAAGTACTGTCGAGCGCATGCTGCGTTGGGCGCTTCTTAGGTATGTACGATGGGAAAAATATTTATCTATATTATAAGTACACGCCAGACCTCCTCTGAAGAGAGAATCGGACGATTCTCTTGGGCGTGAATTAGAGTGGCCTGATGAACATCAGTGCGAAAAATGATGGAAAGAAGCTAAGAGCTCACATCGACGAGTTTCTTTCCCAGATCACTAGTGACCACGCCGTTTCCTTTCAACTTTCGAAGTGCCTCTGCAACATCTGCATGGCGCCCGTACTTTTTCCCCGCGAGAAGAATCTGCAGACAAGCATGCATCACCCTGATTTCCTTCTCCTTGTCGCTCAGCTCTCCCAAAAGGGCGTGATAATATGGCTCAAGCTGCAATCCTTCACTGATCAGAACAGGCACAGAGGTTCGTTGCGATACAGCTTCCCGAGATGAGAGCAGTGATAAGATATGGATTCTCTGGTAAGATCTCGTGGTCCTCGGTCTCTTCGAGTAAATCTCGGATGGTGTCAAAGATCGAGTACCCTATGCTGTACCCCAAATCTATCGTATCGTGGAGGCCAGGGTGTACATATTGCTTCGGGACGCTGATCGTTGGGAAACGACTGGATGCCAGGAAATGAATGAAGAAGTATACTCGCTGATGTGAGCTGGGTTGGCTTTGCAGGTTATGAGGTAGCCCT